AAAAGGTCCTTTTTTGGACCACAGTGTCCACAATCCTTTAGCCAACATGGCCCCAAAAGATATTGTATATACTCGAGTATAAGCCAATCTCATGTATAAGTCGAGGGCAGGTTTTGGGGCCAAAATTAGGGATTTTGATATGACCTGTGCATAAGTTGAGAGTAAGTTGTGAGTTAGGGCCATATAACTAAGGATCTAAAGAATGAAGCAAAGGAAAACAATGCCAAAGAACTTACAAAATGTAGGAGACATAACTGTTTGTGTTCACACTGAAGGATGGATGGAAGAAAGAGTAGAGGGGGGTTAGTGCTTCCAGGAGAGACTGCATTTCACAAGGGCATGGTTTCTATTTTGATGAGCGTTAAAATACAGCACTTACATTGATCCATGGATAAGTTGACTCAGATTTTTGGGGTCAATTTTTTGACCCAAATTTCTAGACTTATACATGAGTATATACAGTAGTTGCTGTGAGCAAGGGATGGGGCAGCCAAAATGGGCTCTCTGTAGTTGCCATTTCCTATTTGAGGTTCAATGAAAGAGACTGAACTTGGAATAGTGACTGTTTTGAGCTACAGCTTCCAGAGTCTCCCAGTCAGTGTGGCTAGTGATCGTGATGGTTGGGGGATGCTGGGAACTGTAGTCCAAAAACACTTCCTAGGCTCTGGCTAGAACATGCCCTTCTGATGGAAGTCATGTTTCCTGACCTATGTTAATCTAGTAAATACACTGTTTTTCCCCCCAACATATTTGTTGTTGTTGTTTGCCTCCAAGTCATTTTTGACTTATGGCTTTGCCATTGCCATCCCCCGAGGCTGAGAGTGTGTGTCTTGCCCAAGGTCACCTAGTGAGTTTCATGGCCAAGTGAGGAATTGAACCCTGGACTCCAGAGATATAGTCCAACACGCAAACCACTATGCCATGCTCAAATTATCCTGATTTGGCAGGGACAGTCCTGATGCATCCTCAGTCATCCCATTTTTTCTGCTCCTCTTAAATCATCCCAGTTTCTCTCTCCACCTCTCACTTTTCCCTTAGTCCTCCACTTACTTCAGTTGCTTCAAACTGAGTTCAAAGTGCAGAGATACTTTTCACTCAGTTAACTCAAGGAGAGAGAGAGGACAACAGTGAGCAGAATCAATCCTCATAGGATTGATCCTCATAGGTTCAGGCAAAAGTAAACTGCTGCAGTCTTTCCTAACTTGTCTGTTCTTCCTCATTCATCACTTTTGCCATCTCGTCCGCACTGATGTTACTTGGCCACATGTGTCCCTATTTTCATCTGTGAAATGTTGGGAGGGTATAAATTTGCAAATTGCAAATTTTATTTCTGAGTGAGATGTGAATGGAGCTGTTTAGAAGATAGTGCCCAAGAGCCTCACTTCCTTGTTGCGGTTTTAAACATGCAGATAGTTTCTCAGTCTTCCTCTTCACCTCCTCTGCCTTTGTTATGACGATAATCACTTTAACTTACAGCACGATAAATTCTGACTTTCCTCCAAATAGTTTGTCCAAAGACCAAAACCTTATCTAAACTTTTGTGGGTCTGTTCAGATGGAATAGAAAATCTCAAAGTGCCCTATTTTCTTCTCCAAAACCAAAAATCTTTGGATGACAATTCCCAACCCCTCTCCTCCAGGCAGCTTAGTGATTCTGGGACTTGTAGTCCCCCCAAAAGCCTCCAATTTCTTCTCTGACTGCTGCATCATATACATAAAACAGACAAAGCAGAGATGAAAAATCTGCACCCACAAAAAACTGAAGCCAAGTTTTGTTCAGAGGAAGTTTGCCATTGCCTTCCCTTGAGGCTGAGAGCATGTGGCATGCCCAAGGTCACCCACTGGGTTTCACGGTCCAGTAGGAAATCAAACTCATTTGCATAGGCTGTTGCAGCATCCCTTCTTCCAATTCTGATGTGAAATTCTGATGTGAAGCCCAAGAGGCTCCAAGGAAGCATCTGGCATGTATACTGTTGTGTTGTCGTTGTTGTGTGCCACCTTAAATTTCCAACTTAAGGTGATCTTAAGATTGGCAAGATTTATTCAGAGGAGATTTGCCACTACCTTCCTCTGAGGCTGAGAGAGCATGACTTGCCCAAAGTCACTCAGTGGCTTTCCTTGGCTGAACAGGGATTTGAACCCTGGTCTCCAGAGTTGTAGTCCAATGCTTAAACCACTGCACCATGCTTGCATTTCAACTGCGGTGTGCAGAAGTCTATCTTTTGTTTGGAAGCCTGATGATTTCCCACATTCTTGGAGCTTGGCACTGCAGTCAGGAGTCCCGACATGCTGCCTGCTACCCTATCTCCCTCTAATAAATGCAGAGTTATGCTTTTCCCAACCCCCAATTTATATTTCCTTATTTCTGAGGGCAGTTTCTTTGCTTTTCGCTCTTGTCCTGCTATCTGACTGCACTGCAGCCCTCTATCTCCAGAGACCCCTGACATCTGAAGCTGGCTTCCCTTGGTAGACTGAGAGCTCTTCCTGGACCTACATCTGGAGACCGACCTTGGATCCGTTCTGGATCCCCTCTGTGTCCACTCCCAGCTTGGGAAACATGTCTAAGAAATCCCAAAACTTTTAAAAGTGCACCTTGAGGGAGATGAAAGAGGACCGATAGTTTGCTCACATAGGACGTTATCACACGTGGGCCAGAAAGCAATAATAAAGTGG